AATTGCAGAATTCTTACAGTACTCCAACACCCAACAACAATTGCTGAGCAACCTTAATTTTATAATGTACTATTAAGAAGAACTAACATACAAATTACAAAACATTTTTAAATGTTTTGTGATTTGTATGTTAAAACACTAGCTATTCTCTTGGTTATGCTATTCTTAAGCCTCAAATATTGCGTGATGCTAACAGTATTGAAACCTGTCCTTGTGTACGATAGGACTATGCAGATGCTTTTATATGCAAATTTGCCACATTGTGTCACCAACCTTCACAGCGATTTGTTATCAGGGATATCAATTTTTCAGATCCTCTACTTAATATTAGCTTCATTTAAAGGCGCTTTCATCCTTTCTCCTACGTTTCGAATATACCACGTACCGAACGAAAACTAAAAAGAAAAATCAGGCGGCACCATTTCTCTACAAATTTGACTTATGCAAATTTGTGACATTTTGCCACTGGTGGTCACGAAATTTCTTATTTTGTAAAGACGAACGCGGAGTACCCAGATTTTTTATTTCATATTCTCTTAATATAAGAGCTGAACTTTTTCCTAGTATACATTTTAGCTACGTATCACACATACCAAGGTGAGTTTTTTGCCTCTGAAGTTGCTCCTTTTTTACCCATCTTAAAAAGTACGCTTGGTGGTAGTTTTTAAAAAACCGTGAAAAATTCAAAATCATGTTTATGGTTTAAAACATACCATGGATAGAAAGAAAAGATAGAATTCTTTTAAACAAAAATATTTCTGTGTTATAGCTTTGAATTTTGCCTCGGTACAGACGCGATAAAGTAGGTCATTTTTTCTACTATTTTTGCATAATTAATTAGGTAAAAACCGCTATTTTCGTTTTTCCTCATTTTCTCGAAAACTATAGATTCTTGAAAGTTGAAAATATTTTTTTCGAAGATAGTTCCCCAAAGGGGTTTTTCTGACAAATTATCAGAATTTTCGATTTTTTTAGCCTGGCCAGCGATTCTCGATATTTACAGTCATGGGCTCTTAAGACACAAGAAATCAACTTTATGACCCTTTATTAAAATAATTGCAAAAAACATTAGCTTAAATATTCTATTAAAATAGTCAAAGAAGGCAAGCCATCTTTTTTTTTACACTGCGCACAATGTTTTTCTTACCCCTCACCCTTTCATTTTTTTATTCCCTCCTCCACAATTTTATTATGTTCTCTCCTCCTCCACCACCTCATTTATTCCATATATTTTTCCATCCACAAAAAAAATCGACCTCATATCGACCCTACATCGACCCTAGACTCAACTTTTTCTTTTTCAACACAGCTTCCTGAATAGTGAAACTAAATACAACCACTCCCACCGGTAGTAGCAGTGGTAGTGGTGGTGGTGGAGGGAAACAAAAGAAATGTGGTGGTGGTGGTGGTTGTATACATGACAAACAGCTACGAAAGCGACGTATGTAATCTGTTACTTTAGAAACTATGTGAACCTATCAACCAAAGAATCCCCACAATTTTTTTTATTTTGCCTGTTTACAACTTATTTCGAAGGGGATAGACTGGAAATCTTTGTTGCTAGAAATATCTGTATGTCGTAACTCTTCAGTAGCCGGGACGATGTTTAAAATATGTGGAATTCATTCCAGATTTAGTTTCGACCCCATTAAATCCTTTATTAACCGTAGAACATTTAAGGAGAAGCCACCCAACTTTCAGGGCGGATCGAGCGCAGAGCTCTCAAACGTCTTCTTTGTGAAAAAGAAGAACAAACGCAGTCTGTGCTTTTGAGAGTGCGCGTGTTGCCTTGACTCTTCTCAGAGCATGAAAGGCTGTTTTATCTGCACGCGATGCCACACCCTTGTTCACGCACTAAGCAAAGATAAATTAGCCAAGTTTAAAGATACTTATAAAAGGAAAGAGAAGACGCAGCATAACGCTGTTTTGGAAATGTAGAGCTAATGAGAAAATGACGGAAAGAAATCACACGCTAAGCAAAGATAAATTACCTGAGTATAAGAGACTCCAAAAGATGACATGAAGAAACACGCAACGAAAGACATCAGTTAATATTAAAAAATAAAAAATTGCCGAGGAACTGACAAACATTTTAATTTTCTTTTTCATATTTCATATTTTATTTTGTATTTATTTATTTATTCATTTTTCATTTCATTTATTTTATTCAAATCAAACTGTTATAAGTTACAGAAAGTACATGATTACGTATTAATAAGGAGAAGTGCAGTTTACATCACATGTAAAACTTTTCACCATATAATGGCCTGGCTGTATAACTAACTAAATTCCTTTTACAGAATTCGGCCAGCAATATTGTTTTATTATTTCATACCTCGAAGACGCTCCCGAGAAAGGATTGTTAAAAACGTTTTACGTAAATGGATTGACTTAGAGGGGGCCAATTTGCGCCTACGTGCCAAAATGTGGTTTACGCAGAAAAAAGGACAGAAACAATTTGTCTTTTTTTAAAAGGCTTCTCTTTTCTATAAAACCAGCTGTCTCTCTCCAAGGGAGGATTTATCCTCTCTTCCTCTCTCTAATGTCACACTGAGCCAATTACAATCGTCGCAGTGGGTGATAGAGCCTTATAACTTCTATAAGCTGTAGATCGTGTGAATTCTGAGACTCAATTTTAAAACAGACAATGGCAACATATTACTTAGTAATTGTGCAAATTTTTCAGACAGACGAAATTTATTTATTATTAATTAGTTTTAGGCTATTTAATTGCTTCTGCTGGGAATGAAACAGTTATTGTATCATGTATTTTGTTCCTGATTATATAACTACGTAGCACTTAAAGACTGCCATCATAAGTCTTGCTTGGTTTTTCAAGAATATCCTAAAACGAGAGTAGGAACCTTTGGCAACGACAACGGCGACACTTTCCACGCGCATCACGCTTTTTGAACAACACGACTGCGTCGTGAAAATGCCTAATTTCACGTTTTGTGTAGGACGTGAGCACAAAACAGCAACTTTCTTTTTCTTTTCCTAAACTTCGATACGGTCTTATAGAACTCAGATCAAGAAAAATATGGCAACATTTGACGAATTGAACGATTGGTTGTTTTGAATCGCACAAATATTGGTCACCGGTTAACACTTGAATGTTGAATGCTTCTAGGAACAATATTTGCTGCAACGACGTAAATATTTGGCACTACACTAAAAGTATATAAATACTTGGCGAGTACTTAGTGTAGCTTCGGAACCTTTCCAGCGATCATTTTAATTTATGCCTGAGAAAAGGGCATTTATTTTTTATTCAGGAGATGAGACTACACGCATTCATTTACCATAAGAAATGTTTCAATAATACAGTGTTCAAGGAAAGTAAAGTTTTTCAATGTTAGTACTAAGAATTGCAGTTCACTATGTTAAATAGTCTACAATGCGTACCAGTGAAAATAAATTTTAGTAATTTATGCGTTAGGTTTGGCACATGAGAAGTTCAACGCTTGAAACGAAGTCGCTCTACAGTCGAAGTTCACTCGATCTTAATTCATGGGTAGACCCAAATTAGACACGTCGGACTTAATAATTAAAACGCCGATCTCTTCATGTACTTAATTGAAAGGATTAGGTTCGGTACATGAAAAGTTCGACGTTTAAACTGGGCCTTAATTTGCTTAAATGATGCGTGGCATCAATATGGAGGACCACGCGTAACCAGTCGATCATGAGTTCAACAGTAGCTTGATGCTGGTCAGCTTCATCCGCTGCGTTTTTATGGACCAAGACGAAGTCGAGGTCAATAAATATTCGACGGAGAAAGCTTGGTCAATACGAATTTATTATATGACCAAATTAAGAGTGCAGACCAACGCGATAAAACCCGAGAGGGAAAGATGGGTTTATCTTGCCCTCTTGGGTAACCAATCAGAACACGATTCACTTTATCTTTCCTGCTTGTTGATAAAAAATAATAAAATATTAAGATGGTAAATCCCCAAAGAGGCGAGGCCTGGCACTGAGTTGCCTATAATCACCAAGGGTCCAGGACTCTTATAGACTAAGTGCATTAGAGGGACATTCAAGACACACCGCCAAGTACTTAGGAAAAATGGCAAATGATTGAAAGGGGATCTTGTTGATCCTTATGAGTTACCGGCATATCTCAAGCTGCCCCTCCTCTGGGGAAGGGGAGGGGGTGAGTGAGGGTGGCGCAGTGGTGAGAGCACTCGTCACCCATCAAAGTAGCCTAGGTTCAAAACCCGGCGTCGACGCCAGATGTGGGTTGAGTTTGTTGTTGCATTGGTTCTCTCCTTTGCTCCGAGAAGTTTTCGCCGGGTCCCGGGTACTCCGTTCCAACTGCCCCCCCTTTCTCCTCAAAAACCAACATTTACAAATTCCAATTTCGATGAGGAATAATTAATAGACGAAGAACTGTGTGCATGTGCTACCTCTAAATCGTTATTTATTTATTTATTTATTTATTTATGCATTTATGCATTAATTAATTTGTCAACGTTTTTGTGAAATGTAAAAGCAAACGTTTATGTAAATATCTTCTTATCCCATCCCCTACGGGTTTTTGTTATAATCTAAAACGATGGTTAAAGTACGTTCTATGACTTTGGTATACGGTAAATAAATGAAATATCGTCATAACACTTTATTTGCGTAAGTATTTTGAAGTTACTTTTACAACTAATTTAGCAAATTCGATTATTTATCCCGTGATGGTATAAATTATCATGTCCATTCGTCAAAAAAAGCATCGAAACTTCAGTAGCGGTCAATGCTTGGAAACAGACACCTGACTGAGAAGATGCAAATTTAATCTATGAAGTTTCCTTATTGAGCTTTGAACATTATTAAGAAACTTTTGACGATAGCTTCACCTTGTTGGAGGACCAGATAATTTTTTTCCGATTATGAAGACCATGAACAAAACTGAGACAACCTGCTTCGGCTTTTATTTTACAGGTATCAGCTTTGACAATACGGGAGAAGTTTTCATAACAAATATTCTAATCTGCATCCTCAATGTAATGTTCAGTATCATAACATGTGTGGGCAACTCTACGATTCTTCTTGCGATTAAAAATACACGAGATCTTCACACACCATCTTACGTCCTTCTGGGCTGCCTGGCTTTTTCTGATCTTCTCGTTGGCCTCATATGTCAGCTACTTTTCGTGGGAGTCAAGATAGCTGAGTTTGAAAGGAGCTTTACTATGTATTGTTGGTTAAGAATGCTTCAGACCAGATCAGCTTGGACAAAAACCGGCGTTTCGTTTTTGATAGTAGCTGCAGTGTCCGTCGACCGACTAATCGCTTTACACCTGCACTTGCGATACAGCGCATTTGTCTCCGTTTCTCGGGTTTTGCAAGCCACTCTGGTTATTTGGATCTTGTCCGTTATATTGTGTGTCGTGTTAAGGTTTTGGATGACCGCCGAATGGTTTTTCATCCCGTTGGTCATTTTCGTTGTTGTATCCGTGGTTCTAACCGTCAGTACCATGAAGATATTTCGAATGGTTCGAAGACACCAGCGCCAGATATAAAGACAAACTGAGGCCGTGGGCAATCTTCAATCCATGACAGTGAACGTCCTCAAATGCAGAAAGTCAGCTGTCACTGTACTTTATATTTACGGCTTGTTTGTGATATGTGATGTCCCTTTCATTGGAACGCTGATCACAGAGATGTTCCATCGATATACAATCAAGGAACAAATCGCTTATGATTTCTCTACGACTGTTATTTTCGTCAACTCCTTTATAAATCCGGTAGTGTACTGCTGGAGAATTTGGGCGATAAGAAAAGCTATAAAGAACATTCTAAGGGGGTGGGGTGGGGGACGGAATGAATAATAAATACCCCTACTCTAGCAAGCCAAAATGATTTCCTCGATGCCAATATGAGAGAGCAAGGGTGAGGATGGATATGGGAAGCAATGTTGGCGCACTCCCCTCCAATGTGGCGCAGGTTCAAATCCAGGCGTCGACGCCATTTGTGGGTTCACTGTGTTGTTGGTAGTCTTCATTGCACCGAGAGCCTTTTCACCGAGTGATCCGGTATCCCCTATCCTCAAATCCAAAACTTTCAAATCAGAGTCGATCTGGAGCGTACTGTTGGGAAAGAAATAGGTGATGCTTAACTTTATTATTTTGTGATTGAATATTAATTAGAAAGTCCGAGTATATTTACAATAAAAATGATGTAACTGCATGCATTTTCTTAGGCTAAATAAGGTGACAGAACGTGCGATGTTGTAAGAGTCACCTAGTTTAAATACATTACAATGGGAACTTTTACTGCACATCTGATCAATGTAAAAGTACTGCCTTACGCAAGGATAGTAGAAAAAAACCTCTGTATTACTTAGAATCTGTTAGTTGTTAGTTGATCGTAGAGTTACGTCGATATTTGATCGTTGATCGTTGTGTTACGACCGTTGAATATGTGAGAATTGTGCATCGCAGTAGATTGTTGGATTGGATTAAATCGTGCTGTTACATCGAAAGATACAGTCCTCTTGATTTGTTTCAACCAGCGAGCGGGGTTAAAAGAATTCCGCAACACGTACGTACACGTTGAAATGAGTTCTCAGAAGAACTCCTAAGTTCTTTGTGGGAACAAATTACAATTAGAAAAATTTACAATTTGACATCATAGCACGACGAGGTTATTTCTGTTTCTATCGGCCAGAGGAATAGAGTCTTTATAATTTGACAAATGACTTGGAGTGATTTAAAGTTGCATCTTCTCTTTCCTTTGCATAAAGAGACGAAAACTATACATAGTACCCAACTGTATACTCAAGTGTTTCATCTGATTTCCGAACACAGAGAAGTAATATATGAAACACGAGAAGGAGTGTTCCATCTGATATCCAAAAACGGAGAAGTGGTACATCAAACACGAGAAGGAGTGTTTCACGAAAAACACGAGAAAACTGTTTCAACTGATCAAGACACCTAGAGGTAATATGTCAAACACGAGAGGGAGTGTTTCATCTGATATCCAAACACCCGAAAAGCATATCCAAAAAGCGAGAAGCAATATATTAAACACGAGAAAACTGTTTCAACTGATCAAGACATCTAGAGGTCATATGTCAAACACGAGAGGGAGTGTTTCATCTGATATCCAAACACCCGAAAAGCATATCCAAAAAGCGAGAAGCAATATATTAAACACGAGAAAACTGTTTCATCTGATATATCCAAACACCTAGAAGTAATATATCAAACACTAGAGGGAGTGTTTCATCTGATATCCAAACACCTAGCAGTAATATATCAAAAACGGGTAGGAGTGTTTCATCTGATATCCAAACACCTCGAAGTAATATATCAAACACGAGAGAGAGTGTTTCATTTGATATCCAGACACCGAGAAGCAATATATTAAAAACCAAAAGAAGTGTTTTATCCGATAGCCAAACACCGAGAAGGTATATCCAAACACGACTGTTTGGCCCTTCCATGAATACAAGATCGTGGAACAAAACGTGTTAACCAAATTTTCAGGGACTAAATTGTAAACACATCATAAATGCAAATACAGCATTGTTGAAAAAGAGCCCGTCTTTAACAGTGAACTAATTAAAAGATAAGGTGGTCAAATTTCCTAGGTCCTAATAGTTTTTACATTGTTTGCTTAAGCTCTCCGTCAATAAGTTAAGCATTATTCCAGCATTTTAGAGGCATTTTCCAGTGATCTTTTTCTCTGAAAAAAAAAAGAGAATGGAAACATTGTTTAAGAAAACTCGAAAGAAATTAGGTTAAATTCCACTTTAATGCCTCTGTGTCTAGGATCATTTTTTGCTGTATTGAACTATTAATGAGTATATACCAGACTGAAAAACTATGTCGTTTGAAAAGCTGAGTATAAACCATACACGATGAGACTAACTAGAGTTAAGGGTAGAATTATATTATCGTTACAAATTTAGAGTTTTTCTGGAACAGCTTACATTATCTTGAGCTTCTCTTGTGGATGCCAATCCCAGGAATACTTAAATTAACCCTTCCGGGTAAACTTTTATGGCTCCAGTCAGGCTTATGATTTTCAAGTTTTTGTTGGTCATGGGGCAAATCTCTATAACTAGAGACTTCCCTGAAGAAACATTTGCTAAAAGGGGAAGTCGTCGGCTTATCAGCAAGAACACTGGAACCTTTTTATTGAATTTTACGTCGTTGAAATGCATTGGTGTGAGAATCGTGTGATAGTTTAAGCCGCGAACTCTTAATTTTCAATGCTAATAAACTTCTACCTATAAATACATTTAATAGGTCTCATAAACTCATTTTTTATAATTTGCAATCGACAGAGTCTTTTTCAGACAGGTGTATACAATGTTGCCATACCACTTTAACATACTGTTTTGTTAGCCTTAATTTCTCTCAAATTGTTGAATTAAAACAAATAAGCCTCTTTATCATAAGACAAATCCGACATAGAATTTTGATGACTCTTTTGGGGGTTTAACAAGCATTCCAGTGCGAAGAATGGAGCATTAAGGTTGAGCATTTTAATGGGAAACAAAAACAGAATATGAAAAAAGCTTTTAAACATATTTACTACAGCCCATTAGTCATTTGTCAGCTGGCGTGCTTACCAATAATTACACGAAACATGCAGTTGAAACCGTCGGGTTGAGAAGGCAATCGTAGAAGCTTTTAAGAGTCAAATGTTGCAAAAACACCGCACACAATAATATAAGAACACCGCAAACAGCATTGAAATTACCCAAACCGCTTGGTTTTTTAAAACCGCAATACCGCAACTTAAAATAAAAATTTCCGAAAAACTGCAATAAAAATCGAGCTGCAAACAGAGGACAGCTCTAGCTAGCCATGAAACAGACACCTTTGTTAAGAGAAGAGACTTGAAGATAGCAAATACATGAAGCGTGATCTAGTCCCTTTAAAAACCTATAATACTCAATTTTTGGACTTTTGGGGAGGATATTTGTATAAATATTTGCGCCATATAAGTTTTTGGTGATTTTAGACTTTTCATAGAAGTCTGGACGAGACAGAACTTATTTTATAACATAACAAAATAAAGCGCACGCTCTGATTGGTCAGTTAGCCATCTACCATTTGCCCGTGGGTGTACGCCAAATTGAGGCCAATTATGCAAATCTCCTCCCCTGTTTGATAGTTACAGCTTTTAGATGTTTCGCAGACTTTCTTCAGCACTGCTTCTAGTCACGTTCAAGAAAGCCCCTGTTTCTTTACAGCTTTTGCGATGTCCGTATAAACGTCTCCATTTCGGTGACTTTTGTCTATTTTATCGTGAATTCGACGGTTCCCCCAAGCAGCGGCGTTAGAGCGGTTCCAAGTGGGCCAAAGTCCCATACATTCACTGTAATTTTAGCTGTGTTTGCCCCCCAGCCAAGTTGGCGTCATAAACCGTGAAAAGGTCTATTAGAGATGTTGAATGGCCAAAGAGGCACCACCTACCGCCGAGTTGGCTATAATCGTTAAGGGTCTTAGGACTCTTATAGGGGCATTATAGACCCACCACCAAGCACTGATGAAAAATAGCAGATGATTGAAAAGAAACAAAAACCTGAAGAAGATGCAATTTTAATCTTTGAAGTTGCCTTAGTGAACTTTGCACAGTATTAACTTTTGATGATAGCTTCACCTTGTTGGAGGACCAGATAATTTTTTCCGATCATGAAGACCATGAACAAAACTGAGACAACCTGCTACGGCTTTTATTTTACAGGTATCACCTTTGACAATACGGGAGAAGTTTTCATAACAAATATTCTAACCTGCATCCTCAATGTAATGTTCAGTATCATAACATGTGTGGGCAACTCTACGATTCTTCTTGCGATTAAAAATACACGAGATCTTCACACGCCATCTTACGTCCTTCTGGGCTGCCTGGCTTTTTCTGATCTTCTCGTTGGCCTCATATGTCAGCCACTTTTCGTGGGGGTTAAGATAGCTGAGTTTGAAAGAAGCTTTACTGTGTATTGTTGGTTAAGAATGCTTGAGACCAGATCAGCTTGGACAACAGCCGGCGTTTCGTTTTTCACAGTAGCTGCAGTGTCCGTTGACCGACTAATCGCTTTACACCTGCACCTGCGATACAGCGCATTTGTCACCGTTTCTCGGGTTTTGCAAGCCACTCTGGTTATTTGGATCTTGTCCGTTATATTGAATGTCGTGCTAAGGTTTTGGATGATGACCGCCGAATGGTTTTTCATCCCGTTGGTCATTTTCGTTGTTGTATCCGTGGTTCTAACCGTCAGTACCATGAAGATATTTCAGATGGTTCGAAGACACCAGCGCCAGATAAATAGACAAACTGAGGCCGTGATCCATCTTCAATCCAACACAGTGAACGTCCTCAAATGCAGAAAGTCAGCTGTCACTGTACTTTATATTTACGGCTTGTTTGTGATATGTTATGTCCCTTTCTTTGGAACTCTGATCACAGAGATGTTCCATCGATATACAATCAAGGAACAAATCGCTAATGATTTCTCTACGACTATTATTTTCGTCAACTCCTTTATAAATCCAATAGTGTACTGCTGGAGAATTAGGGAGATAAAAAAAGCTGTAAAGAACATTCTAAAGGGGCGGGGTGGGGAACGGAATGAATAATATAATACCCCTACTCTGGCAAGCCAAAATGATTTCCTTGATGCCAATATGAGGGAGCAAGGGTGGGGATGGGTATGGTGAGCAATGTTGGCGCACTATTGAGAGCACCCCCCTCCAATGTGGTCCAGGTTCAAATCCAGGCGTCGACGCCATTTGTGGGTTCAGTTTGTTGTTGGTAGTCGTCCTTGCACCGAGAGGTTTTTCTCCGGGTGATCCGGTTTTCCCCTCTCCTCAAATCCAACACTTTCAAATCCCAGTCGATCTGTAGCGTACTGTTGGGAAAGAAATAGGTGATGCTTAACTTTATTATTTTGTGATTGAATATTAATTAGAAATTGACATTTGTAGCGCAAAGAAGTTAGATTTCGTGACATTAGATTTTACAATAATGTAGACAAAGTCCGAGTATATTTACAATAGAAATGATGTAACTGCATGCATTTCTTAGGCTAAATAAGGTGAAAGAACGTGCGATGTTGTAAGAGTCACTTAGTTTAGATACATTACAATGGGAACTTTTAGTGCACATCTGATCAATGTAAAAGTACTGCCTTACGCAAGGATAGTAGAAAAAAAACCTCTGTATTACTTAGAATGTGTTAGTTGTTAGTTGATCGTAGAGTTACGTCGATATTTGATCGTTGATCGTTGTGTTACGACCGTTGAATATGTGAGAATTGTACATCGCAGCAGATTGTTGGATTGGATTAAATCGTGCAGTTATCGAAAGATACAGTCCTCTTGATTTGTTTCAACCAGCGAGTGGGGTTAAAAGAATTCCGCAACACGTACGTACACATTGAAATGAGTTCTCACTAGAACTCCTAAGTTCTTTGTGGGAACAAATTACAATTAGAAGAATTTACAATGTGACATTAGGCTCCGTACAAGTAGTTATTCATCCTGGCTAATTCGAGGAGGTTATTTCTGTTTCTGTCGGCCAGAGGAATAGAGTCTTTATACTTCGGACAAATGACTTGAAAGTGATTCAAAGTTGGATCTTCCGTTTCCTTTGCATAAAGAGACGAAAACTATACATAGTACTCAACTGTATACACAAGTGTTTCAACTGATTTCTGAACACAGAGAAGTAATAAGCGAAACACGAGAAGGAGTTCCATCTGATGTCCAAATACAGAGAAGTAATACATCAAACACAAGAAGGAGTGTTTCGTCTGATATCTAAAAACCCGAATAGCATATATCTAAAAAGCGAGAAGCAATATATTAAACACGAGAAAAGTGTTTCATCTGATATATGCAAGACACCTAGAAGTAATATATCAAACACGAGAAAGAGTGTTTCATCTGCTAACTAAAAACCCGAAAAGCATAAATCCAAAAAGCGAGAAGCAATATATTAAACACGAGAAAAGTGTTTCATCTGATATATTCAAGACACCTAGAAGTAATATATCAAACACGAGAGGGAGTGTTTCATCTGATATCTAAACACCCCAAAAGCATAAATCCAAAAAGCGAGAAGCAATATATTAAACACGAGAAAAGTGTTTCATCTGATATATGCAAGACACCTAGAAGTAATATATCAAACACGAGAAAGAGTGTTTCATCTGCTAACTAAAAACCCGAAAAGCATAAATCCAAAAAGCGAGAAGCAATATATTAAACACGAGAAAAGTGTTTCATCTGATATATTCAAGACACCTAGAAGTAATATATCAAACACGAGAGGGAGTGTTTCATCTGATATCTAAACACCCCAAAAGCATAAATCCAAAAAGCGAGAAGCAATATATTAAACACGAGAAAAGTGTTTCATCTGATATATTCAAGACACCTAGAAGTAATATATCAAACACGAGAGGGAGTGTTTCATCTGATATCCAAACACCTAGAAGTAATATATCAAAAACGGGTAGGAGTGTTTCATTTGATATCCAAACACCGAGAAGCAATGTATTAAAAACCAAAAGAAGTGTTTTATCCGATAGCCAAACACCGAGAAGTATATATCCAAATAGGACTATTTGGCCCTACCACGAATACAAGAACGTGGAACAAACGTGTTAGCCAAATTTTCAGGGACTAAATTATAAGCACATTATACATACCATTACAGCATTGTTAAATTGAAAAAAAAGCCCGTCCTTAACAGTGAGCTAATTAAAGGATAAGGTGGTCAAATTTCCTAGGTCCTAATAGTTATCTTCTTTAATAACAATTTTTAAGAGGGTTTAACCCCCCCCTTTCTTTTTTTTTTTTTTTTTTTTCACCCATTTCCTTTTTGATTTAGCTGGGATGCATTCATCCCCATGCTCCTCCCATTTTCCACTAGAACAGCAACTGGCTTTTTAGCTACTTTCAAAGTTTTAAGAACGAAATAACATTATAGATAATTATATTTTCTGGTTGGCAGTTTATTTATTTATTTATCTATTTTTTAAAAAAGTCATTTTTAAGTAGGGTAACCCCCTTTTTTCATCCATTTTCGTTTTCATTCAGCTGCGATAAGTTCGTCCCCAGACTCCTCTCATTTTGTACGTCATCATGCTGACGATTAACTATGGCGTGAGCAGCAAAAAAATTGTTTTTGCTTCTTTTTGTGGGCCACATCCATGAGAAGAGGAATTTTTGTCTACTAGCTGAGGAGTTTCCAAGTTTTTTTGCTCGCTAATTGGTCTGCTGTGGAGGCTATCTGAGGTATTTTAGAGTAAGTAATCATTTATTTTTTTTTCCAAGACCTTTCAGTACTTTCATGTGTCAATGCTGCAGGCATCTTGCTACGGTTATAGCTAATGGATCTATTTGCCCTCGAAACCTGTTTCCCTCGTTTCAAGGTACTTAACTTTATATTATATTATATATTAACCCTTCAGTTCCTTTTGTTTTATTTTGCACTGTGTATTGTGTTGGACGTGGCTGCATTGCAGTTGTTGGTCGCTCAATATTGGTGCTTTTTCTAACTATGTAACTATTAACCAATTTTATTTGTTTTTATGCCTACAACACTCTCATTTACACACACCCTCCCTCCCCACCTTACCCACTATTTAGTGGAGACTTGGGAACCCTTTCATTAGGGATTCCATACCACACCTGTAATGCCACAAAGGTTGCTAGAGAAACTACTATTTTTTTTCTTCATTAGTACGATGTTTAAAATGTGTGGAATTCCACGTTTAGTTTCGACCCCATTAAATTCTTTACTAACATTAGAGCATTTAAGAAGAAGCCACCCAACTTTCAGGGCGGATCGAGCGCAGAGCTCTCAAACGTCTTCTTTGTGAAAAAGAAGAACAAACACAGTCTGTGCTTTTGAGAGTGCGCGTGTTGCCTTGACTCTTCTCAGAGCAGTAAAGGCTGCTTTATCTGCACGCGATGCCACTCCCTCTTTCACCCACAAAGCAAAGATAAATTAGCCGCGTTTAAACACACTTATAAAAGGAAAGAGAAGACGCAGCATAACGCAATTTTGGCAGTGTAGAGCTGATGAGAAAATGACTGAAAGAAATCACAAACTTAATTTTAAAGCAACGATAATTAGCCGACTGGAGTATAAGAGACTTAAAAAGATGACAAGAAGAAACACGCAATGTTCTTTAAAAATATATAAGAACGAAAGACATCAGTTAATATTAAAATAAAGGCTGAGGAACTGACAGACATTTTAAACTTTTTTTCATATTTCATATTTTATTTTTAATTAATTAATTAAGTTATTTTTCATTTCATTTATTTTATTCAAATCAAACTGTTAAAAGTTACAGAACGTACATAATTAAGTATAATAAATAATTAGCAAGGGAAGGGACAAAGTGCAGTTTACAACACATCTAACAGTTTTTACCATATAATGGCCTGCAGCTGGCTGTATATTAATTAACTATATTCCTTTTACAGAATTCGGCTAACAATATTGTTTGATTATTTCATACCTCCAAGAAGTTCTCGAGAAAGGATTGTTAACAAAATTTTTCGTAAATGGATTGACTTAGAGGGGGCCAATTTGCCTATGCGTGCCAAAATTTGGTTTACGCAGAAAAAAGGAAAGAACGGTTTTCCTTATTAAAGGCTTCACTTTTTTATTATGAAACCAGCTGCCTCTCTTCCATGTCACTGTATTCAGCCAATTACAATCGTCGCAGTGGGTGACAAGGCCTTATATCTTCTATAAGTTGTAGATCGTGTGAATTCTGAGATTCAATTTTAAAACAGACAATGGCAGCATATTTACTTAGTAAGTGTTCCAATTTTTCAGACAGACGAAATTTATTTATTATTGATTAGGTTTAGGCTATTTAATTTCTTCTACTGAGAATGAAACTGTCATCAGTTGTATCATGTCATTTGTTCCTGATTATAACTCGCATTCAAAGACTTCCGTCAGAAGTCATGCTTAGTTGAAAGAACTGCCACTTGAAAAAGCTTTAAGAGCTCGGTTGAATAGAAGAGGTAACTTACTCGGACTCGGATGCAGACAGCTAGCCATGATACAGATGCCTTTGTTGAGAGAAAAGACTTGGAGAAGCCTGACTCGGTTGAAAAAGGAAAGAGTTACTTGAAAAAAATCCTGGCTCGGTCAAGGAATAGAGTGAACGAAGCTTGGCTTATCAGACACCAACAAATCAGGGAAAACCTGTTTCATTTTTGAAGAAAAGTAGATTAACCTGATTCTCGCCGACTCAGAACAAACAGTGATAGCTACTTCAAGCCAACACAATCTGACATAACTTCCCTCAGTCATGAACAAAACTGGAAAAGCCTGTTTATATCTTAGTGACATCAGCTTCGACAAGGCGGAAGAACTTTTCGTAACAAACATTCTAACTTGTATCCTTAACTTATCGTTCGGTTTCGTAACATTTGTGACCAACACTACAATTCTTCTGGCGATTAAAAACACCTGCGATCTTCACACGCCATCTTTCGTTCTTTTGGGTTCCTTGGCAGCCTCGGATCTTCTCGTTGGCCTCGTATGTCAGCCGCTTTTTGTGGCGTCTAAGATAGCTGAACTTGAAAGAAATTTAACTGCGTACTGTTGGTTGAGACTACTCCAGAGCAGAACGGCTTGGAATACATCTGGCGTTTCTTTGTTGACAGTAGCCGCTGTTTCTGTTGACAGACTCCTCGCTCTAATTCTTCATTTACGATACGAGACTTTAGTCACTGTTCCACGAATACTTCAAGTCACTTTCCTTTTCTGGATCTTGTCTATGATATTAAACGTTGTTCTAACATTTTGGATGACCAATGTATGGCTTTTCTTCCCCATGGTCAACTTTTTTCTTACATTTATTGTCATCACGATAAGTACTTTAAAAATTTTCCAGACTGTGCTTAGACACCAACGTCAGATAAATGACCAAAACGCCGCTGTCAGCCATCTTCAAAACAACACCGTTAACGTACTGAAGTGTAGAAAATCAGCCGTTACCGTGCTCTATGTTTATGGCTTGTTTGTCATATGCTTTGTCCCCTACATTGCAACAAGCATCGTAGAAGTACTTCTTGGATCCACAACGAAAGTGCTCATCGCTTATGATCTCTGTGAGACAGCTATTTATATTAACTCTTTTTTAAATCCAATCGTGTACTGCTTGAGAATAAGGAAGATGCGCCGAGCTGTGAAGAATATCCTAAAACGAGAGTAGGAACCTTAGGCAACGACAAGGGCGACACTTAGCACGAAGATCAAGAAAAATATGCCAACATTTGACGAATTGAAAAATTGGTTGTTTTAAATCGCAAAAATGTTGGTCGCCCGTTAACATACTTAAAAATGATGAATGCTTCTAGGAAAAATATTTCACTGATATTTGCTGCAACGATGTAAATATTTGGCACTACACTAAAAGTATATAAATACTGGGCGAGTACTTAGTGTAACTTCGGAACCTTTTCAGCGATCATTTTAATTTCTGCCTGAGAAAAGGGCATTTTTTTTTCAGCAGATGAAACTATACGCATTCATTTACCATAAGAAATGTTTAATACAGTGTTCAAGGACAATAAAGGTTTTCAATTTTAGTGTTAGTACTAAGAATTGCAATTCACTATGTTCAATGGTCTACAATGCGTACCAGTGAAAATAAATTTTAGTAATTTACGCATTAGTTTCGGCACATGAGAAGTTCAACGTTTGAAACGAAGTCGCTCCGTCGAAGTTCCCATGTGGGCCACTCGATCTCAGTTCATGGGTAGACCCAAATTAGACACGTCGGACTTAATAATTAAAGCACCGATCTCTTCATGTACTTAATTGAAGGGATTAGGTTCGGTACATGAAAAGTTCGACGTTTAAACTGGGCCTTAATTTGCGTGAATGATGCATGGCCTCAATATGGAGCTCCAAGTGTAACCAATCGATCGTGAGATCAACTTAGCTGGATGTTGGTCAGCTTCATCCTTTGCGTTTTCATGGACCAAGACGAAGTCGAGGTCAATAAATATTCGACGTAGAAAGCTTGGTCAATACGAATTCATTATACGACCAAATTAAGAGTGCAGACCAACCCGGGAAATCCCGACAGGGAAAGATGGGCTTACCTTGCCCACTTGGGTAACCAATCAGAACATGGTATTCGCTTTATCTTTCCTGCTTGTGGATAAACAATCATAAAATTAGAGATGGTAAATCCCCAAAGAGGCGCTGCCTAGCACTGAGTTGAATCATCAAGGGTCCAGGACTCTTGTAGACTAAGTACATTAGACGGACATTCAAGATACACCGCCAAGAACTTAACAAAAATGGCAAATGATTGAAAAGGGATCTTGTTAATCCTTATGAGGTACCCCTCAAGCTACCCCTCCTATAGAGCAGGTGAGGGGGGAGAGGGTGGGACGGTGGTGAGAGTATTCCCATCAAAGTAGCCTAGGTTCGAAACCCGGTGTCGACGCCAGATCTGGGTTGAGTTTGTTGTTGGTTCTCTCCTTTCCTCCAAGTACTCCGTTTTCCTAATCTCTCCTCAAACACCAACATTTGCAAATTCCAATTTCGACGAGGAATAATAGACGAAGAACCGTGTGCATGTGCTACCTTTACATCGTTATTTATTTATTTATGCACTAATTAATTTGTTTACGTTTTTGTGAAATGTAAATGTAAACGTTTATGTAAATATCTTCTTACCCCATCCCCTACGGGTTTTTGTTATAGTCTAAAACGATGATTAAAGTACGTTCTATGACTTTGGTATACGGTAAATAAATGAAATATCGTCATAACACTTTATTTGCGTAAGTATTTTGAAGTTACTTTTACGACTAATTTAGCAAATTCGATTATTTATCCCGTGATGGTATAAATTATCATGTCCATTCGTCAAAAAAAGGATCGAAACTTCAGTAGCGGTCAATGCTTGGAAACAGAAACCTGACTGAGAAGATGCAAATTTAATCTATGAAGTTTCCTTATTGAGCTTTGAACATTATTAAGAAACTTTTGGCGATAGCTTCACCTTGTTGGAGGACCAGATAATTTTTTCCGATTATGAAGACCATGAACAAAACTGAGACAACCTGCTTCGGCTTTTATTTTACAGGTATCAGCTTTGACAATACGGGAGAAGTTTTCATAACAAATATTCTAATCTGCATCCTCAATATAATGTTCAGTATCATAACATTTGTGGGCAACTCTACGATTCTTCTTGCGATTAAAAATACACGAGATCTTCACACACCATCTTACGTCCTTCTGGGCTGCCTGGCTTTTTCTGATCTTCTAGTTGGCCTCATATGTCAGCCACTTTTCGTGGGGGTCAAGATAGCTGAGTTTGAAAGGAGCCTTACTGTGTATTGTTGGTTAAGAATGCTTCTGACCAGATCAGCTTGGACAACAGCCGGCGTTTCGTTTTTTACAGTAGCTGCAGTGTCCGTTGACGGACTAATCGCTTTACACCTGCACTTGCGATACAGCGCATTTGTCACCGTTTCTCGGGTTTTGCAAGCCACTCTGGTTATTTGGATCTTGTCAGTTATATTGAATGTCGTGCTAAGGTTTTGGATGACCGCCGATCGCGAATGGTTTTTCATCCCGTTGGTCATTTTTGTTGTTGTATTCCTGGTTCTAACCGTCAGTACCATGAAGATATTTCAGATGGTTCGGAGACACCAGCGCCAGATAAATAGCCAAGCTGAGGCTCTGAGCCATCCTCAATCCAACACAGTGAACATCCTCAAATGCAGGAAATCAGCTGTCACTGTACTTTATATCTACGGCTTGTTTGTGATATGTTATGTCCCTTTCTTTGGAACTCTGATCACAGAGATGTTCCATCGATATACAATCAAGGAACAAATCGCTTACGATTTTTCAACGACTGTTATTTTCGTCAACTCCTTTATAAATCCCGTAGTGTACTGCTGGAGAATTAGGGAGATAAAAAAAGCTGTAAAGAACATTGTAAGGGGGTGGGGTGGGGGACGGAATGAATAATATAATACCCCTACTCTGGTAAGCCAAAATGATTTCCTCGATGCCAATATGAGGGAGCAAGGGTGGGGATGGGTATGGTGAGCAATGTTGGCGCACTATTGAGAGCAACCCCCTCCAATGTGGTCCAGGTTCAAATCCAGGCGTCGACGCCATTTGTGGGTTCAGTTTGTTGCTGGTAGTCTTCCTTGCACCGAGAGGTTTTTCTCCGGGTGATCCGGTTTTCCCCTCTCCTCAAATACAACACTTTCAAATCCCAGTCGATCTGTAACGTACTGTTGGGAAAGAAATAGGTGATGCTTAACTTTATTATTTTGTGATTGAATGTTAATTAGAAATTGACATTTGTAGCGCAAAGAAGTTAGATTTCGTGACATTAGATTTCACAATAATGTCGACAAAGTCCGAGTATTTTTACAATAAAAATGATGTAACTGCATGCATTTTCTTAGGCTAAATAAGGTGAAAGAACGTGCGATGTTGTAAGAGTCACTTAGTTTAGATACATTACAATGGGAACTTTTACTGCACATCTGATTAATGTAAAAGTACTGCCTTACGCAATGATGGTAGAAAAAAAACCTCTGTATTACTTAGAATGTGTTAGTTGTTAGTTGATCGTAGAGTTACGTCGATATTTGGTCGTTGATCGTTGTGTTACGACCTTTTAATATGTGAGAATTGTGCATCGCAGTAGATTGTTGGATTGGATTAAATCGTGCTTACGTGATTAAATCGTGTTACATCGAAAGATACAGTCCTCTTGATTTGTTTCAACCAGCGAGCGGGGTTAAAAGAATTCCGCAACACGTACGTACACATTGAAATAAGTTTTCACTAGAACTCCTAAGTTCTTTGTTTGAACAAGTTACAATTAGAAAAATTTACAATGTGACATCAGGCTCCGTACAAGTAGTTATTCATCCTGTCTAGTGGGAGGAGGTTATTTCTGTTTCCGTACTTTGACAAATGACTTGGAAGTGATTCAAAGTTGGATCTTCTGTTTCCTTTGCATAAAGAGATGAATACTACACATAGTACACAACTGTATACACAAGTGTTTTATCTGATTTCCGAACAAAGAGAAGTAATATATCAAACACGAGAGGGAGTGTTTCATCTGATATCCAAACACGTGGAAGTAATATATCAAACACGAGAGGGAGTGTTTCATCTGATATCCAAACACGTGGAAGTAATATATCAAACACGAGAGGGAGTGTTTCATCTGATATCCAAACACGTGGAAGTAATATATCAAACACGCAAAGGAGTGTTTCATCTGATATTCAAACACCTAGAAGTAATATATCAAAAACGGGTAGGAGTGTTTCATTTGATATCCAAACACCGAGAAGCAATATATTAAACACGAAAAGAGTTGTTTTATCCAATAGCCAAACACCGACAAGTGTATATCCAAACACGACTGTTTGGTCCTTCCATAAATACAAGAACGTGGAACAAACTGGTGAGCCAAATTTTCAGGGACTAAATTATAAACACATTATAAATACCATTACAGCATTGTTGAAAAAGAGCCCGTCCCTAACAGTGAGCTAATTAAAAGATAACGTGGTCAAATTTCCTAGGTCCTAATAGTTTTTACATTGTTTGCTTAAGCTCCCCGTTAGCAAGTTAAGCATTATTCCAGCATTTTAGCGGCATTTTCCAGTGATCTTTTTCTCTGAAAAAAAAAAAAGAGAATGGAAACATTGTTTAAGAAAACTCGAAAGAAATTAGGTTAAATTCCACTTTAATGCCTCTGTGTCTAGGATCATTTTTTGCTGTATTGAACTATTAATGAGTATATACCAGACTGAAAAAACTTTGTCGTTTGAAAGGCTGAGTATAAATCATACACGATGAGACTAACTAGAGTTAAGGGTAGAATTATATTATCGTTACAAATTTAGAGTTTTTCTGGAACAGCTTACATTATCTTGAGCTTCTCTTGCGGATGCCAATCCCAGGAATACTTAAATTAACCCTTCCGGGTAAACTTTTATGGCTCCAGTCAGGCTTATGATTTTCAAGTTTTTGTTGGTCATGGGGCAAATCTCTATAACTAGAGACGTCCCTGAAGAAACATTTGCTAAAAGGGGAAGTCGTCGGCTTATCAGCAAGAACACTGGAACCTTTTTATTGAATTTTACGTCGTTGAAATGCATTGGTGTGAGAATCGTGTGATAGTTTAAGCCGCGAACTCTTAATTTTCAATGCTAATAAACTTCTACCTATAAATACATTTAATAGGTCTCATAAACTCATTGTTTGTAATTTGCAATCGACAGAGTTTTTTCAAACAGGTGTATACAATGTTGTCATACCACTTAATACATACTGTTTTGTTAGCCTCAAACCCTCTCAAATTGTTGAATTGAACAAATAAGTCTCTTTATCATAAGGCAAATCCGAGAAATTTGATGACTCTTTTGGGGGTTTAACAAGCCTTCCAGTGCGAAGAATGGAGTATTAAGGTTGAGCATTTTAAGGGGAAACAAAAACAAAATGTGAAAAAAAGAAACAAGAAACATGCAGTTGAAAACGTCGGGTTGAAAAGGCAATCGTAGAAGCTTTAAAGAGTCAAATTTTGCAAAAACACCGCACACAATAATATAAGAACACCGCAAACAGCATTGAAATTACCCAAAAATTTCTAAATACCGCAAACCGCTTGGTTTTTCAAAACCGCAATACTGCAACTTAAAATAAAAATTTCCGACAAACCGCAATAAAAATCGAGCTGCAAACAGAGGACAGCTCTAGCTAGCCATGAAACAGATACCTTTGTTGAGAGAAGAGACTTGAAGATAGCAAATACATGAAGCGTGATCTAGTCCCTTTAAAAACCTATAATACTCAATTTTTGGACTTTTGGGGAGGATATTTATATAAATATTTGCGCCATATAAGTTTTTGGTGATTTTAGACTTTTCATAGAAGTCTGGACGAGACAGAACTTATTTTATAACATAACAAAATAAAGAGCACGCTCTGATTGGTCAGTTAGCCATCTACCATTTGCCCGTGGGTGTACGCCAAATTGAGGCCAATTATGCAAATCTCCTCCCCTGTTTGATAGTTACAGCTTTTAGATGTTTCGCAGACTTTCTTCAGCACTGCTTCTAGTCACGTTCAAGAAAGCCCCTGTTTCTTTACAACTTTTGCGATGTCCGCATAAACGTCTCCATTTCGGTGACTTTTGTCTATTTTATCGTGAATTCGACGGTTCCCCCAAGCAGCGGCGTTATAGCGGTTCCAAGTGGGCCAAAGTCCCAAACATTCACTGTAATTTTAGCTGTGTTTGCCCCCCAGCCAAGATGGCGTCATAAACCGTGAAATGGTCAATGAGAGATGTTGAATGGCCAAACAGGCACCACCTACCGCCGAGTTGGCTATAATCGTCAAGGGACTAAGGAATCTTATAGGACATTATAGACCCACCACCAAGCACTTATGTAAAATAGCAGATGATTGAAAAGAAACAAAAACCTGAAGAAGATGCAATTTTGATATTTGAAGTTGCCTTAGAGATCTTTGCACATTATTAACTTTTGATGATAGCTTCTTCTTGTTGGGGGACCAGATAATTTTTTCCGATCATGAAGACCGTGAACAAAACTGAGACAACCTGCTTCTACTTTACAGGTATCAGCTTTGATAATGCGCAAGAACTTACAACACAAACAGGTAACGCAAAAAAAACCTCCGTTACATCGCCCCTCCGAATATAAGCCCCCTGGGGGCTCGTACTTGGAAATTGCCCTCAAATACAAAGTAAAACAAAATAAAAACAGCTAATTTCCTACCAACTACAAGGCTAGCCCAATCGATTTTGAAACGCAAATTTCCCTCCGTAGATAAACCCCTCCGAATATAAGCCCCTCCAAAAATAATGCATCAGTCAATTCCACCTGCGCCCAGGCCCCCGGGCTGACCCCCGGGAATTAGCATTTTTTTTGCCTTGGATGGCAAATTCCCGGGGATGGGGACTCTTGAGCTGGCAAATCCCCCGGGGTGGGGACGAAAAAAGAGGGCAAATGCCCCGTCCTCCGTCAACAGTGCAACATTTTTTATTGATCGCACAGTCACACAATAGTGCCATTTTAATGTGCGATTTTTTGTTTCAATTAACGTCTTCCTTTGTATAATAGCGCTAGGATTCTAACTAAGACTTCACGCCGCGACGACATGCACCAGTTTATGATTTTAGTATTGATATAAAAGTATTGACATTAAAATTAACAGAGCGCTGTAAAGTTATTTGTTATGAATAGTTTTATAAATATGAAAGGGTGTTCTTCAAATGATATCAACAGAAAGTTGATTCAATAACCAAAAAACGTTGATTCACATCGATAGCTCCAATTTCGCTATGTAATTCTGGCTTGATAAGCAATGAAGAAATGCATACATACATGTAAAATCGTGAACATGCCTTTACAACCCTCTACAATTTATTCCTGTCCTTGACAGATGAGCCAATCTGCTTTTTTTTTCCAGTAAAACCTTCTGTGTAGTTATATTCTGATAGGAAACCGCGTGCGTGTCAAAAGCTCGGGAATGGCCCGGGGGTTGGTAAATACCCGGCCCCCGGGCAGTGCAAAATTTGCAAATGCCCCACCCCCGAGACTGACAAGGCGGGTAAATGCCCCGCAGTAGCCCGGGGGGGGGGGCTGGGCGCAGGTGGAATTGACTGATGCATAAGCCCTTCAAAGAGGGCCTTATTTACGGTATTTTCTGAAGCGTTCTAAACGGATGCATATTGCAAATTGCGACAACTTTAACAAATTACGACGATTCTTACAACAGAACACTGTTTTCGCTTTTCTTCAAATCATTCTTGTTTTTTTGGATTGTGTACTTTATATATTTCATCCTGTACTAAGGTTCTACATGACTGGCAAAAAGTAGCCTTTCTTCCGTCCTGATGGCTGTTTCCTTCTTGTAATCTGCGTTTATATTTTGCATTGTACGCTCAAACACACGGCGGACACCACAGGCGACAAACAGTGATAGCTACTTCAAGTCAACACAGTGAAATAACTTCCGTCACTCATGAACAAAACTGGAAAAGCCTGTTTATTATTTAGTGGCATCAGCTTCGACAAGGCAGAAGAACTTTTCGCAACAAACATTCTAACTTGTACCCTTAACTTATTGTTCGGTGTCGTAACATTTGTGGCCAACTCTACAATTCTTCTGGCGATTAAAAAAACTCACGATCTTCACACGCCATCTTTCGTCCTTTTAGGCTCCTTGGCAACCTCGGATCTTCTCGTCGGCCTCGTATGTCAGCCGCTTTTTGTGGCGCTTAAGATAGCTGAACTTGAAAGAAATTTAACACCGTACTGTTGGTTGAGACTGCTCCAGAGCAGAACGGCTTGGACTACATCTGGCGTTTCTTTGTTGACAGTAGCCGCTGTTTCTGTTGACAGACTCCTCGCTCTAACTCTTCATTTACGATATGACACTGTAATCACTGTTCCACGAGTACTTCAAGTCACTTTCCTTTTCTGGATCTTGTCCATGATATCAAACGTTGTTCTAAGATTTTGGATGACAACTAATGTATGGCTTGTCATCACTATGGTCATCGTTGTTCTTACATTTATTGTCATCACGATAAGTACTTTGAAAATTTTCCAGACGGTGCTTAGACACCAACGTCAGATAAATGACCAAAACGCTGCTGTCAGCCATCTTCAAAACAACACCGTTAACGTACTGAAATGTAGAAAATCGGCTGTAACCGTGCTCTATGTTTATGGCTTGTTTGTCATATGCTATGTCCCCTACATTGCAACAAGCATCTCTTCTTGGATCCACAACGAAAGTGCTCATCGCTTATGATCTCTGTGAGACAGCTATTTATATTAACTCTTTTTTAAATCCAATCGTGTACTGCTTGAGAATAAGGAAGATGCGACGAGCTGTGAAGAATATCCTAAAACGAGAGTAGGAACCTAAGGCAACGACAACGGCGACACTTAGCACGAGACAGTCTTATAGAACTCAGATCAAGAAAAATATGCCAACATTTGACGAATTGAAAAATTGGTTGTTTTAAATCGCAAAAATGTTGGTCGCCCGTTAACATACTTAAAAATGATGAATGCTTCTAGGAAAAATACTTCACTGATATTTGCTGCAACGATGTAAATATTTGGCACTACACTAAAAGTATATAAATACTGGGCGAGTACTTAGTGTAGCTTCGGAACCTTTTCAGCGATCATTTTAATTTCTGCCTGAGAAAAGCGCATTTATTTTTTTTTTCAGAAGATGAAATTATACGCATTCATTACCATAAGAAATGTTTAATACAGTGTTCAAGGACAATAAAGGTTTTCAATTTTAGTGTTAGTACTAAGAATTGCAATTCGCTATGTTCAATGGTCTACAATGCGTACCAGTGAAAATAAATTTTAGTAATTTATGCATTAGGATCGGCACATGAGAAGTTCAACGTTTGAAACGAAGTCGCTCCGTCGAAGTTCCCATGTGGGCCACTCGATCTTAATTCATGGGTAGACCCAAATTAGACACGTTCGACTAAATAATTCAAACACCGATCTCTTCATGTACTTAATTGAAGGGATTAGGTTCGGTACATGAAAAGTTCGACGTTTAAACTGGGCCTTAACGTGCGTGAATGATGCGTGGCATCAATATGGAGCACCAAGTGTAATCAATCGATCGTGAGATCAACTTAGCTGGATGCTGGTCAGCTTCATCCTTTGCGTTTTCATGGACCAAGACGAAGTCGAGGTCAATAAACATGCGACGGTGAAAGCTTTGTCAATACGAATTCATTATACGACCAAATTAAGAGTGCAGACCAACGCGGGAAATCCCGACAAGGAAAGATGGGCTTACCTTGCCCACTTGGGTAACCAATCAGAACATGGTATTCGCTTTATCTTTCCTGCTTGTGGATAAACAATCATAAAATTAGATATGGTAAATCCCCAAAGAGGCGCTGCCTAGCACTGAGTTGAATCATCAAGGGTCCAGGACTCTTGTAGACTAAGTACATTAGACGGACATTCAAGACACACCGCCAAGAACTTAACAAAAATGGCAAATGATTGAAAAGGGATCTTGTTAATCCTTATGAGGTACCGGTATATCTCAAGCTACCCGTCCTATAGAGCAGGTGAGGGGGGAGAGGGTGGGACAGTGGTGAGAGCATTCCCATCAAAGTAGCCTAGGTTCGAAACCCGGTGTCGACGCCAGATCTGGGTTGAGTTTCTTGTTCGTTCTCTCCTTTCCTCCAAGTACTCCGTTTTCCTAATCTCTCCTCAAACACCAACATTTGCAAATTCCAATTTCGACGAGGAATAATAGACGAAGAACTGTGTGCATGTGCTACCTCTAAATCGTCCTTTATTTATTTATGCAAGAAATTAATTTGTTTACGTTTTTGTGAAATGTAAATGCAAACGTTTATGAAAATATCTTCTTACCCCATCCCCTAAGGGCTTTTGTTATAATCTAAAACGATGGTTAAAGTACGTTCTATGACTTTGGTATACGGTAAATAAATGAAATATCGCCATAACACTTTATTTGCGTAGCTATTTTGAAGTTACTTTTACAACTAATTTAGCAAATTCAATTATTTATACCGTGATAATATAAATTATCATGTCCATTCGTCAAAAAAGGATCGAAACTTCAGTAGCGGACAATGCTTAGAAACAGAAACCTGAGAAGATGCAAATTTAATCTAAGAAGTTCCCTTAGTGAGCTTTGAACATTATTAAGAAACTTTTGATGATAGCTTCACCTTGTTGGAGGACCAGAGAATTTTTTCCGATCATGAAGACCATGAACAAAACTGAGACAACTTGCTTCGGCTTTTATTTTGACAATACGAGAGAAGTTTTCATAACAAATATTCTAATCTGCATCCTCAATGTAATGTTCAGTAGCATAACATGTGTGGGCAACTCTACGATTCTACTTGCGATTAAAAATACACGAGATCTTCACTCGCCATCTTACGTCCTTCTGGGCTGCCTGGCTTTTTCTGATCTTCTTGTTGGCCTCATATGTCAGCCACTTTTCGTGGGAGTCAAGATAGCTGAGTTTGAAAGGAGCTTTACTGTGTATTGTTGGTTGAGAATGCTTCAGACCAGATCAGGTTGGACAACAGCGGGCGTTTCGTTTTTCACAGTAGCTGCAGTGTCCGTCGACCGACTAATCGCTTTACACCTGCACTTGCGATACAGCGCATTTGTCACCGTTTCTCGAGTTTTGCAAGCCACTCTGGTTATTTGGATCTTGTCCGTTATATTGTGTGTCGTGTTAAGGTTTTGGATGATGACCGCCGAATGGTTTTTCATCCCGTTGGTCATTTTCGTTGTTGTATCCCTGGTTCTAACCGTCAGTACCATTAAGATATTTCGGATGGTTCGAAGACACCAGCGCCAGATAAAAAGACAAACTGAGGCCGTGAGCAATCTTCAACCCATGACAGTGAACGTCCTCAAATGCAGAAAATCAGCTGTTACTTTACTTTATATTTACGGCTTGTTTGTGATATGCTATGCCCCTTTCATTGGAACGCTCATCACAGAGATGTTCCATCGATATACAATCAAGGAACAAATCGCTTATGATTTCTTTACGACTGTTATTTTCGTCAACTCCTTTATAAACCCGGTAGTGTACTGCTGGAGAATTAGGGAGATAAGAAAAGCTGTAAAGAACATTCTAAGGGGGTGGGGTGGGGGACGGAATGAATAATATAATACCCCTACTCTGGCAAGCCAAAATGATTTCCTCGATGCCAATATGAGGGAGCAAGGGTGGGGATGGGTATGGGAAGCAATGTTGCCGCACTATTGAGAGCACCCCCTCCAATGTGGTCCAGGTTCAAATCCAGGCGTCGACGCCATTTATGGGTTCAGTTTGTTGTTGGTAGTCGTCCTTGCACCGAGAGGTTTTTCTCCGGGTGATCTGGTTTTCCCCTCTCCTCAAATCCAACACTTTCAAATCCCCGTGGATCTGGAGCGTACTGTTGGGAAAGAAATAGGTGATGCTTAACTTTATTATTTTGTGATTGAATATTAATTAGAAATTGACATTTGTAGCGCAAAGAAGTTAGATTTCGTGACATTAGATTTTACAATAATGTAGACAAAGTCCGAGTACATTGACAATAAAAATGATGTAACTACATGCATTTTCTTAGGCTAAATACGGTGAAAGAACGTGCGATGTTGTAAGAGTCACTTAGTTTAGATACATTACAATGGGAACTTTTACTGCACATCTGATCAATGTAAAAGTACTGACTTACGTAAGGATAGTAGAAAAAAAGCCTCTGTATTACTTAGAATGTGTTAGTTGTTAGTTGATCCTAGAGTTTGTACTGTCGCACTTTGTAATAATCGTCGCACTTTGTAATACCTGTCGCACTTTGTAATAAAATTGTCACACTTTGTAATACCTGTCGCACTTTGTAATAACACTTGTCGCACTTTGTAATAAAAAAGCTGTCGCACTTTGTAATAACAGACCATCGCACTTTGTAATAAAAAAAGCTGTCGCACTTTGTAATAACACTTGTCGCACTTTGTAATAAACTTGAAATAGATGTTTGGAGGACAAGTAAACCCAGTAATATGTGTCATCATCACCAACAACAACAACGACAATAATAATAATAAGTGTTCTCATCAACTTCTGGCTTCAAGATCTTTCTAGGGAAGTACAACTCTTAATATGCGGACGACCTCGATAGAGAGAAAGTGTCTACGCCTATGACAGGGAGAGTCGTTTAAAATGGGGGTTTTTATTAGAATTTCATTTAATTGATTGTTAGTAAAAGTAATTAAAGGTATCCTTCAGGCGAAACGTGATTGTATAAGCAAAATATTTTTAAAGTTTTACTACTAGCACAGGTAACTAGAAAACCTATGATTTCGTTACCTGCGAGGTATTACTTGAGACATATACAGAGATACTTGATTTGTATTTATTACCATGAATAAGCTATACTGTATTTCATAAAACCAAATGAAAATCACAAACTCAGAGCACAACCCGGTGCCACAATCATTGTCATCATCATCATTATTGTCACTATTATTTTCGCACTAAAATGTTCTAAACATTGCATATCACGTCATTGTGCCACGATGACCACTACACAAAACCAGTGTTAGATCTGGATATAGTTAAAGGCTACGTGCTGTGTACAGCTGAACATTGTTCTCTGAGATCGCGTAAACCTAAACTTTACGGAGATATTAAAAAAAGATACCCTAAGATTACAGCAGCTATGGAAAAATTATTATATTTTTGAGTAGACAAATCTCATAAACGGGCCACAAATTCAACAGGAATACGCGCGAACTGAACAAATTGTCTGTTGTACATTTTAAAGGTTCTGCTCAACTTACACAATTTTCCCTTGCTGAACAAAAACTGTACCGAGCCGTATCTTGGTCCGCTATATATAAGCTATATCATGGTTCAAATATTAAACTGTAAGATCCCTGAAAGAGTTCTCCTCAATGGAGCAATATGTAAAAGGTTTTCAAAGGTTTCACGCAGGTGAAGATGTGCGGCCTGTCACCTCTTGCAAGTTTTTACTTTATTATTATTATTATTATCATTATTATTGTCGTTGTTGTTGTTGTCGATGATGACACTGATTACTGGGTTTGCTTGTCCTCCGACCATCTATTTCAAGTTTATTACAAAGTGCGACAAGTGTTATTACAAAGTGCGACAGCTTTTTTTATTACAAAGTGCGATGGTCTGTTATTACAAAGTGCGACAGCTTTTTTATTACAAAGTGCGACAAGTGTTATTACAAAGTGCGACAGTTATTACAA